AAGTAGTGTCTTCGACTTTATGTAATTTTTATTTCTATGGTGCATAGACAATTTGGAAAATCTGTTAAGACTGTTCGGAGTGATAATGACACTTAATTTTTATGTATGGGATCTTATTTTCGTTAAGAGAGTATTATTTATAAGGCTACTTGTGTTGGCACACCTCAGCAGAATTGGCGTCTTGAACGTAAGCATCAACATATTTTTAATGTTGCTCGTAACGTTTTCAAGGCCATCTACCTCTTGAATTTTGGGGTCACTGTATCTTGACATCAGGGTACTTGATTCACCCCCTACCTACTCCTATTCTACATGGAAATACTCCTTATGAAATGTTGTTTGGCAAACCTCCTTCTCTTGATCATTTACGAGTCTTTGGTTGCTTGTGTTATGTGAATAATCAGGATTGAAAAGGTGATAAGTTTGCATGTCGTAGTCGAAAGTGCATTTTCGTGGGTTATCCATTTGGTATGAAAGGTTGACAAGTCTATGACCTTGATTTAGGGGTTTTCTTGGTGTCTCGTGATGTTATGTTTTTGTGAATCGGAATTCCCATATTTGGATTCTGAGCCTACTAGTGGTCCTTCTAAGTCCATTCTTGTTTTTGTATGGACACCACCTCTGGTTGAGGATGATGAAATATCTACTGATCAACCATTCAGGTCTTAGTCTGCGCCTCCAGTTATTGACACCACTACTTCGAGCTCTTCTCCGGCTGCTGAGTTATCTCTTAGCAAGAAGGGTTCTGACAGTGTTTCAGCTCCTGTTGAGGAGTTGGGTCTTGGCTACCGTACCAAGATTCCTTCTACTCGTCTCCGTGATTTTTTTGAGGCATACTATTTGTTCCTCGAGCCCCCTGCTGACTCCTCCACTTCATCATCTTCCTCAGGTACGCCTTATCCAATAGCTTATTATGTGAATTGTGATTCTTTCTCACCTGCCCATAAGTTGTTTTTGGTAGCAGTTTCTTCTGCAGTTGAACTTCAGACATTTGCTGAAGCCATGAAAGATAGTCCCTGGCGATCTACTATACAACATGAAATCCAAGCTTTGGAGAAGAATCATAATTGTGATGTTGCTTTTCTTTTGCCAGGCAAGAAGACGATTGGATGCAAGTGGTTTTATAAGATTAAGTATTATTCAGATGCTTCTGTTGAGGGGTATAAGGCTCGTCTTGTGGTTTTAGGTAATAACCAGGTAGAAGGCATAGACTAAGAGGAAACATTTGCTCATGTCACTAAATTGGTCACGGTCCGTACCTTTCTCGTCGTGGGTACTGCAAAGAACTGAGAATTTCATCAGATGAATGTTCATAATGCCTTCTTTTTATGAAATTTCCTCCTGCTTTTTGCTCTTCTGTTCCTTGTCAGGTGTGTCATCTTAAACACTCTCTGTATGGCTTGAAACAAGCTCCTAGGTGTTGGTTTTCAAAGCTTGTTAATGCTCTGAGGAAATATGGTTTTTCTCAATCTTACTGTGATTATTCCTTATTTACTTTGCATCAAAAGAATGTTCATCTTTTGGTGCAGGTATTTGTGGATGATCTTATTGTTGCTGGTAAAGATAGCGCTGCTATTCTTCGTTTTAAGGCACACTTTACTAATTGTTTCCGTATGAAGGATCTTGGGGTTCTGAAGTATTTTCTGGGTATTGAGGTCGCTCGGATTTCCAATGGTCTCTTTCTGTGTCAACGTAAACATGTGTTAGACACTGTTTCGGAGGTTGGCTTATTGGGGAGTGAACCTGTGGATTTTTCTTTGGAGCAGAACCATAGTCTTCCGCTGGCTGAGGATAAACCTCTTTCTGTTGGAGAACACTATTGATGATTGGTTGATCATCTCATTTAATTGGTTGTTACTCGACCGAAGTTGTCTTATAGCGTTCATATTTTGGCTCAATTTATGCACTGCCCTATGTAGGCTCACTGGGATGCTGCTCTTCGAGTTGTTCGGTATTTGAAGGGTAACCATGTCAAGGGTTTCGTTTTCGCTGATAGTGATTTACAACTTTATGCTTGGTGTGGCTCTAATTGGGCAAGTTGTTCCATCACTCGGCGTTCTCTTACGGGCTGGTTTATTCATTTGGGTACTTCTCAAATATCTTGGCGGACCAAGAAGCGGAATACTATGGCTCGCTCTTCTACTGAGGCTGTGTATCATGCAATGGCTAGTACTAATTGTGAATTAAAGTGGTTGAAGGGCTTGTTGCACGGTCTTGGAGTTGCTCATTCTCAGACCCAGCGTCTTTATTGTGACAGTCAAGCTGTTTTGCATATTGCTGCTAATCTTATCTTCCATAAGCATACTAAACGCATTGAGGTTGACTGTCATTTTCTTCGTAATCCTGTTTTACAAGGTATTATTGCTGCTTCTTATGTTTCTACTGGTGAACAGTTGGCCGATATCTTTATTAAGGCTTTGGGCAAGCGTCAATTTGATTTTTTTCTTAGCAAGTTGGGCATTCGACACCCCCATGCTCTAACTTGAGGGAGAGTGTTAGTGTATGTAAATATAGTTACTATGTAATTATTTACTGATTGTAACCGTAAGCCTAATCCTATACACATATGTATACTACGCTGCCAACATACAAGGGCAACTTTTGCCATTCAAATCATGCCGCCTCTCTGAATTTGTTAAGGTGAGGCGGCGGCGGCGGCTGGGAGATGTTGAAGGAGTAAATTTTGGCATCTTGGAGGATGAATTGAGGTTTTGTTGGGTGGAGGATGAGGTATGCTTTGAGGATTATGAACAGGACGGCGGAGATCAGGGCGACGGGGGCGATGATGGGGCTGCGGATTACCTTCTTCTGCTCATTTTCGGTTCGGGGTGATTAGAAAAATGGCTATGGGAAGCTTTTTTTTCCTCTTTTTTTTAAAGTAAAGCATAAGTGGTCCCCACAATCTGAAACAAAAAAATAATAAAATTCCGTTAAATGGATCAATATTGACAAATAAACGAAAAGATGGTGACTAATTTTCTAAGTTAAAAATTAATAGTGACCAAAATCTATGACACGCATAGTTTAAGGACCAAAAGTACGTTTTGTCCAAAATTAATTCAATTGCATTCAGCTTTGTGCTTGACTTTCAAAATTCTTATAGTTCGATAGTAGTCTAAAATTCTTTTGCCTTCGAACTGCATATGGACTTGAGTGCACGACCTTCAGGAGCTTTCCTTGAAGTCGGGTTTGCATCAAAGATGATGATGTTACCATTAATACGTAAACCATCATTTTTTTGTGCGCTTAACTACAATAACAAGTTCCGATTAGCTATACGGGGAAAACTTTAATATGTTATCCGTAACGTGTTGTAATCAAAAGAACGGGGAAATGAAAGCAAATATGCAAATACTCTACATAGGCCAATCACATTAGGTATCTACATATATATAATACAAGAGTCTTGATCAACCATAACCCCCTTTCAAAGGATTTTTCTGACTGGCCGTAGTAGGGTTCATAAATCCTTGGGCCTTTATGTAGGACTGCATATCTTAACTAGGAATGATTCAGCCTAGAATTTATTTTGCAGCTTTTGCAATCTTAAACTGGTATCTCCACTTTTCTCAATAAAGGCTGCAGCAGCCTACTAAAGACAATTTGAAGGGTCGCATGAAGATGACAATCTTTGGGTTATATATGGTCGCATGAAATCTATACCAAGCATTGCGATTTATGGACCTGCGTCAACCAAAATATGATATGAGTTGGGACTTGAAGCTACTTAAAATCATGGAGAAAACTAAGGCAGGGACAATATGGTGTCATTCAAAAAATAGATTGTACCATACTACAGGATCCTTAATTGGGCGTGGCACGCTTTATATATGATCTAGATTCAACCAATGGAATCATACTTTCGCTACCTGGTTAAAATGGCAAGATCGAGTTTGGACCAGGGAAAGAATTCAGAAGATTAAACAGACTACATCACGGATGGAAACAAGGGATTTCAACATAAGTCTCAAAAGGAAAATCTTTTACACAGTGTTGTCAGCAGGAATAAGTGCGCACATATGGATGTCATAATGAACATATACGAAATGAAGTAAAAATGCAGTCAAAGCAGGGTCCTTTTAAGTTCAAAAATTACAATGTTAGTAAATAGGTAACCATTGTACATTTGGTTGGTTATAACTGTCAATAAATCCTTAGTCCTCAAGTTTGTTGTATAATACCTCCGTTCCAAAAAAAAAAAAGAAAAAAAAAAGAAAAACTTAATTGAGTTTCAATATTTCTGCTAGTTTCACTGTAAATTTGTAAATTCAATATGGACTTTTTTTTTTTTTTTTGAAGAGAGTATATAATGTTTAAAGAGATTTGCTCAGTTCCAGCAGCATCACTTGACATTTCCATCAGTAAATTTCGGTTTGTTGGCATAATCATCACTATACTAAAATAATCAAACAACAAAAAAAAATGTACTAATTTTCTTTGGCATATATAGCTTGGGTGGATTAATCTTGGGTAAAAATATTTCCCACAAAATCCCAGAATTTTAAACTGGGAAAAAAAAGGCAGGAAAGATAGAAGCGGTTCCTTCCATTGCTGGCAACGCGATTCTAGTGGAACCTCTTCTCCGGCCAGCAGAAAAACAAAACTTCCATTAGATCATCTTGCAGCCTTGCCCAGCCGCTGAGTATTTATTTTGTTTTTTCAGGGTCTAATTGACACAAGAACCAAAACTTATTGAAAATATCCAGATAGAAGGAAAATATGACGAAGCAAACACATTAATTTATTAAGAAAAGAAATGAAAAGAAAACCCAATGGGCTCCTTTGACCGAATTGGTGATTACTGATGATCATTATGACAATAGTGGAGCTAGCTACCATAAAGACAGTGCTGATGACCTTATTTTTTTCATTATTATCTGGATACCATAATGATTCTGATGTTATGGTGCCAGAAAACTAATGGAAATTGTGAAATTGCAAGATGAAAGATGAAGATGGACTTTATTTTTTTGGGGGGTTTTTTCCTCTAAGTTTCTTGTTTATGATTCCAGAAATCCAGTACTGGTTAAGATGGCATTTCTGACATCCCTGAGATCTCTGCCTTTGAGGGTTCTCCCAACTCCATGGAACATTGAGGAGGCAACAACCCGGGAGTTCCCGGGGGCATACCTCCTGGCTATTAACTCATGGGGTGGCAGCAATTCCTCATCAGTATTTTCATTATCATCAACTAAATCATTATAATTAGCATTATCATTTGTACCCTGAATCCCATCCACAGTACTGTTACGACCATGATGGTTCCATCTCATCAGCATCTTTACCCAATCAGGGATGTCGATCGGCACGGAATGCCGCTGATTGTTATTACCAGATTGAAAGCTGTTGTTTTGAGCTGTTCCCCTCGTCCTGAATCCCCACACAGCTTCTTCTTGGAACTCTTCCCCCTCCTGTCCTGCATTTCTCCAACTTCTTCTGTTTGGAAATTCAGCCATGTTAATTTTTCTGGGATTTATGTTTTTGGGATCAATAAACAAAGGGTTGTGAGAAAGATTGATTCTTTGCAAAGGATTAGGCCAAATATCAATGAAAACCCAATGAATATACCATAGCTTGAATTTTATGAATGGAACTGGATGGGGATGAGGTTGGTATATATAGGAAGAATATAGCCTCAAGAAAGAAAAGGCAAAAGAGAAAGCAGTATAATTTGCTTTTTTGCTTCTTCCTCGAGGAAAACCCCACCGAATGAAAAACAAGGGCAAGAAAACAAACTGTTTCAGGCCGAAAAAAAGGACTCCAATAACAAAAAGCATTTGATACTTGTAATGCGACTGAGAAATACTGCAAGAAGGTGAGATTTAGTGTGGAATGAAAAACTGCAAACTGATGCACAGATTTCAAGGACCTGAGAAACGAGTCTCACGTGGCATCATCAGTAGGAAATAGACAATCATCACAGATATGTAAATGACATGCGATCACAAGAACAACAAGGAGTAGTATAGTAGTGTAACCGATGAGGGGAGCCGAGACACGAGAAAACAACTCAAAGAAAGCCTAAATGAGTAAGAAAGCTGGAAAACAAAAGGAAAAAAGCAAGATAGAAGGGCTTTAACTCCATCTAGAATCTCAGTTCCCCACGCCCCACACAAAATACGCATGGGCACCTCTCTTGGTCTTCAAAAGTGAATTTTGGGAGAAAATGAGACCATCTATTCAACATTTGTGGGTATTATTTTTTCAAGTCGGCTTTGATTAAAAACGTTTGTCTAACTAATACTAGTATAACATGAAAGAAGAAAGAGACGAATAACGCACAAAATGTGAGATATGAGACCTTACCTGGACAGGAGACAAGGCCTTAAATAAGGCAACAGAAATTAGTACTTTCTCCATCTCGAATTATTGTCCAGTTTGGATATTTAATTTTAGTTCAATTTATACTAAAACTGAAAATTCAAACTAGATAATAAGTTCAGAGGGGATGAAATATGGAACATATGATAATGGCACAAGGGAAGATAGGGAAAGATAAGGCAGGCATTTGGGAAGCCCTTTCTTTTTTGTTTTTTTTTTCTTTTCTTTTCTCTTTATTAAATTAACCGACAGTCGTGACAACATTTATTTTTGCCCACTTAAGTCAGAAAAATAAAGAGGTTAAGTTTATGATAAGAAAACCTTCCAGTAAAACCTACTCGTAGGGTTCCTTCTTTTTGGGCATTGACTGAATTAATTCATTACCACTCCATCTCCGAGCCGATCAATGCAATTGAAAATAAAAGTAAAATGCAAAAAAGAGAGAAAAGAGAAAAGGTCGTTGTCATCAGGTTCAGTGGTGTAAATAAATGTGCTTAAACACACATACATAAAAGGGCTGCAAAGCTAGTTGTAGTTTTGGTTGTGATTGGGAAATTAAGGTGGAATGTAAAAGAGGAGAAAGTTTAGGTGTAATCCAATTTATATCCAGCCCTCTTCAAAGTTCAACGTTCAAATACTCTGATTTTTTGTAGCAGCTGCATCTCACTAATTTCCTGTACTCCTATAGGAACGTAAACATCTTGGATTATAATGGTACTATGTCTATAACAGACGAATACCGCATAAGACACCATGATCAGTTTAATTAAGATGCGGGCATGGGATGTTAACGCTGAAGAACCAGATAATTAGACAACTAACTGTTTGCGATACAACATTTTTCAAAGGAACCTAAAATTCTCAGCTCAAGGGGTTTCTAAATTGTTGGATTATGTTCACATATTACCTTATGAGTTCGACCTTTTTGTCATTCTCCAAATGGTATCCATGATTACGAAATCATCCATCAACTATTATTTCTACTCCTTCAAAATCTAGTGTTCAATTCATTTGAGATATCTGAAGTCGAGTGGCAAGAAATAAAAGCCATGAAAGATGCACATTTGAGGTTCTAATTAATGTCACATCTTACATTATCCAGACCATGAAGTATTACATTATTCAAAATTCATTGCCTTTATGGCAGTTTAGCGTGTCTATTGATAAAAATATATAATATGCAAAATGATGACAATAACTGTGGATATAATTATCTAGTCATAACAACCAAACATTAAGCTCCCTTTGTAAAATCTTGCTAGACGGAGGAAGAATATGTTGCTTTGTAAATTAAAATTTTTTTTGAAGATTGTAATTCTAGAGGGGTTCAAAATCATAGAGCGGACATTTATGAGGATCCTCGTGCTGCATGACTTCTCCAGGTTCATGAATAGACTCATCATGCCTTTTTCTCTTTAAGCTATCTACATAGAGTTAAACACACATGTTCATTCCAATTTTTGAAAAAATAAAATTAAAAGATAACCCTATATACTCTAGAATAGTGATCATTCCCCAATAATGGATTAACGAATTGCATTGTCCAGAAAACAAAATTATATTTTGAAAGAGATTCTTATATTAAGAGCGCCAAAAATTAATTCTCAATCTGAAGTTTACCTGTTTTCTGAGAATCTATGGTCTCCTCTAGTGGTGTTGGCAACCTGAAAATAGTTTTGGTTAAGGAATTATAATATCCCACTTTCTTTTCCTTGATTAGTTTAAATCCTTTCACTGCCTTCCTTGACGAACCCTAATTCAAAATGGGAATTTGTGATAAAAGTTCAGCCGCAAGAAACTGAGGAACCCCGCAATAGAAAGAGGTCTAAATTAACTATAAGGAATTTGAAATTCACCTCAATCGATACTGTTTCTTGTGGCATATGATTCGCTTTATAGTAGTGTTTGGGAAGCTTCCCGTGCTCAACAAAGTGAAAAATCTCGATAAGGGATCTAAAAACCACATTTGTTTGAATGTGGTGGTAATACTGAATCAAAGAAATATATAAGTACCAGTCCTAAATATAGACAATAGTAAAATAATTTTAGATCACATCAATATTCATCCAGTAAACCTTGTCATCCGTTCAAGAAAGTAAAATCAAATAAAATGAGGAAAAATATTGGGTCAAAATTTCCCCATTACTTTGTTAGCTTAATTGGTTTCACAGGTTACCTTAGCTCAAAAAAGAGTTTCACAGATTACCTTGTGAATCCTTCCTTTAAGCCCCATCTTTTGTTGTATCCACCAATTTCTTTGCCTCTCTAGCTTTGAAAGCTGTTGCGCTAATGCAATTGCTGTTTTCATCGCAACTTGAGCTTCAACTTTTGCGTTTTCTTTCTGTTAAAAATTGGGAAAAAAAATAGCTATCTTTCACTTTAACATAAACATATATTAATAAAAAGTTTATCAATAATAGTTCAACAATTTACTTAAATTTTATTTAAATTTTAGCTTGATTTTCAAACAGTACTAAATTCTTATATTTTAATATTAGTAAAATGTTTTTACCTTCGAACTGTAGATGGACTTGAGTGCACGACCTCCATGAGCTTTCCTTGAAATTGGAATTGCATCAAAGATGATGATGTTACCATTCTCTTCAACACGTAAACCATCATATTTTTGCGCCCTTAACTACAATAACAAGTTCCAAATCAGCTATGCATACATGAAGTATATTAGGAATCTATGATATTAGAGTCTCGATCGAGCAGAAACATCCTTCAAAGGTTTTTCTGAGTGGTCGTAATAGGGTTTGTGACCTTTACGCAGTACTGATATGAGTTGAAATCGGAAGCAGCTACTGAAAATGGAGAAGAAAACGAAAGCAGCTTTTGCCGGGACAGTATTAATGTGGCAGAATCGACTTCAGACAAGGGAAAGATTGAGAAGATAAATATACAGATACTAGATACCAGTAGTAGTCTATCTCATGTGCAGAAAGAGTCTCATTTTTATATTTTAAATGTGTGGAAGATTAAGCAGAAAGCATCGCAGATGGAAACTAGGAATTATAACAGAAGTCTCAAAAAGAAAATCTTTTAACATCTACAAAATTAGGGAAAAATGCAGTCCGAGGGTTCCTTGTAAGTTCCAAACTTACCATTTCACGAAATAGGGAACCATTCTAAATTGATTTGGTTAACTGTCAATAAATATCCTTACAGTTTCACCCAAAATAAAAGCATGGAATTTATGCCTTAATTTCAATATCTCAATGATTGTGTGAAAATTACATACCGAAAGACTACAAAGGGAAGACTATTTTACGCATAAAGGGAAGAGTGGATGCATAAATCGATCTTATATACTCTCTTAGTACATATATTATTGTTCAGTTTGGATTTTCATTTTTAGTACAGATCTAAATAAAAATAAAAATCTAAATTAGACAATATTTTTATAACAGGGGTAATTTCTAATTCACAAACATTATTTAAAAAATAAGTGCCAATTTAAGCCTTTTGTTAGAAAAAAGAGAGAGTGTGAGTGTGGCTGTGTCTCTGTGTCTATGTGTGTGCTAGTTGATGGATTTGCGGACTAAACAAATCGACATATTTGGAATTTATAAAGAACAAATTAATTATTTTGGTATCATTGAAAATATAATGCATCTTCTTATGTATAAAGGCAGAATGGTACACAATTTAAAACTATTATGAATAAGTTGAATAAGGCCTTACCACGTTGTTGTAATCTCCTGGAATGATCATAATGCTAGAAAACATAATGTCTGGATATAGCATCAAAGGAGGCTGCTGCACCAACTTGTACATTAGTACCTCCATCTGCAATTAGTAATTTTATCCATTACAAAGAAATGCGAAACAGAAAATAGCTGCAAACAGAGAATTTGACCATTTAACTTACCTTGAGAGAAAATTGGTAACTTCTACATAATCCCGGTGATTATGTACTATTTAGTAACCTCCTACCCCTTTATTTAATCGAAAGAATTAATATGGACACATAAACGGTGAGAATGGTTGACTTCTAAAATTCTTTTCAAAGGGGTGAGGAATCAAGTGGATTTACTTGATTTTTTAATGACAGAATAAACATTTCTTAAACTAATTACTTATGTATATCCTCTAAACATTATAACAAATTTTCTTTCAAACTCCAGTAATCTCGATCTGCATCGGATTGCTATCAAACAAATTTTCTCCAAAAATGTATTACGTAAGTATTTCCATATCTTCTCTAATTAGATATCTCAAGGGTCCGAAACCTAAATTGCACAATATCAAACAAAAAATATCCAGTAAATTCTTGATATATTTAAAGTTGAGCTAATATATTCTTTGGCCTTGCCACTTGATCTAGCACTCACACAGTAACACTTATAATGCTCCATGTTGACGAAAACAAATGTATAAGCATATGCATCCCCTAACCAGATTGAATAATTATAACCCAAAAACAAAGAAAAAACACATTCCAAGAACCATGCAATTATGTAAGTGGCTGAATTGTTTTCTAACATGAGTTCAGGAAATGAAAAATCTTAGCAATAAACTTTTCGCTTACTTGACAATGATAGCAGATCTGAGTAAATGGAACTACCTTTTTTTTTTTAATTCGGATTAATTGTCTCTTCTCTTGTGTGTTAGATAAATATATAAAAATTTTATTATCTCAAGAAGGGTTAAAACAGCCGTTAACACACGAAACGAATCAATTATTGTGATTTGACGTTCCTGGTAGGTACTTTAAAAGTTGAAAACTCTTTTTAGGAATTTATTAAACTTGAGGTGCATGTTTAGTAACAATGCAAGACCGGACCGAAACCTTACAGAGAGTATACGAGTATGAACAACTTGAAGTCTTGAACCATTTACACTCTTAAGAAACTCATTCGAAATGAAACTCACAAATAGGTAAGGATTACGAAGATATCAAGAGAATTTAATGTTGCAAAATTCGATCTACCATATAGATGAATGAAGCTTTTAATAATTGTAGCAATCTAACTGTGGTGATGGTAGACTGGACGTCAAACTCCAAAATCAATTCAATTTGGATTTCCCTTCCAATTGTAGCAATGTACGTATGTTGGATACAATCGTTACTCAGGATTTTCTAAGTTAAATTAAGAAAAACAAATCAAACTCCAAAACGAGGGGGCAAAAAGATGTCCAAAACTTATGATACCCTTTCTCGTACAAAAATGAATACATCTAACAATGGACTGCGAATAGACTTACTGAAAACGTTTTAAATAACACAAGGATTGGCAAATTAAAACTCACCCATGGCAGAAACTAAGGATTCTAAGAAAAATAGTTTAGAAATGACTAAAACTGATATCTTACGAAGTTATTGATTCCAACAATTGACATTGAGAGCAGGTGCTTCGTCTCCAAGCACAATGAAATCTTGCCGATTGAAGGTACACAGCCAAAAACCGTTTCGATCCCCGCAGCCATGGATTGGTTAATCTGGACTTGAAAATCGTGAACAGAAGTTTATGATTAAAAGCCAATTCAGATGATGTAATAAAACATGGCTAGTGAAAGCTATTTATAATGACATCCAACAGGCTCCTTCCTAGTGGCTAGTTTTATTACTGATTACCATAATCTATTTAGTATCCAAAATAAATTAATGACTTTTTTTTTTTTTCCAAAATCGTCCTTCCCCAGTCAAAGGTCCACCAAACCCCAATCTAAACCTACATTATTTACCTTCAGTACCCATTTACAACTTTAAAAATTTAAGTCCTATTTTTTTTTCCTCTCCGGTTTTATTGTCTCTCCAAAGCCTAACATCAACATCTCAATATCTTCTCAAAATAAGATTGTATTCACATGTTTGGGATTGAAATTCCATTGATACCCTTAAGCTGATGTCGTAGACTCCTATCAATCATTTCCCCATATTGTTCCCCTCTTCCATTGAGTAAGCTATGCATTTCATATACTTTTTCTTAGGAAAAAAAAAAAAAACAAAATTTTATTAACATTGCTGGAAATCAACTAGTTCGGATTGACAAAAGAAAGATGGCGGACTCCACCAAGATACGGCGACAACAATTTCAAACTTAGCATAAACTGCTATGACATGGGCGACATCGTTTTGTTCTTGGGATCCAATAAATGTTGGTAAAAGACAAACATATGATACAAGCCTTTCAATAACACTCAATCAGCTTTACCCAGAGCAGCAAGTATGGCAATGGTCGAGTCTCCCAACACCTTTGCATTTTGTAGTCCCAATTCCATAACTAGAAAGCAAAGCTGCCTTGAACCCAAAGAATTCAGCCACTCTTGGATTAACTGAATCATTTTAACATGCAGGTTCTAGTAAAATGTAAGTTTCCCGTTGCCGAACTTAGATAGAGTCGTTGCTGAAATTGCACCATCAAGAGAAAATAAAAAAAAAAAAAACAATGAAGACTGTATATGGTCTTGAGCAAACAGATGAGAGCTTAACATATATCATCTCTTGCAATACATTGGTGGTTGTCACGAAAGATTTGACTAGCTTCAGACCTTGAGTTACAATTATCTCTGGCCTGATTAAAACTCATTCCAACAACTGACCATTCCTAGCGTACAAGATAGAGTTGCATAATACACTGAAAACTTCTACCATATTTTTTCCATAGTTCAGTACAATGTCTTTGATCCACAATTCGCTCTTGGGCTGTGTTAGGATACAAATTTGATTACAAAGTTTTTCATTAAACAAAAAAATAGTGATATGTACAGGGAAAAAATAACAAGGAAAATACACAAGGAATGACGTGTCAAACATCTAAACTAGACCCTAAACTTAAATACTTTAACTACGTATGGAAAGTTTTTAAAATGAATAGATGAGATTATTTCCTAGTCATTTTTCCTAGTCATTTTTCCGTGTACCAATCATGATCCTAAAAAAAATATCATTTCCACCTAAAAATCTAATAAATTCTATGTCATAAGAAGCAAAACTAATGTGGCTTCTTGAAGAATAAGTTTTTTAAAGTCTATAGAATCGTGTAAGTTAAAGATTAGATATTGTCTCTTACCTCTAAAGAAATATATGCATATAGCAACAAGTCCACATCATTGACAAGGTGCGATCTCCATCCAACAAAACTTGAATGTTGCACGAAACCAAAATGCTCCTCCGGTCTTCTCTTATTGCATACCATATTTGATGCAATAATTAAACCTTCATGGCAAGGAACACCTCAGCTCAGAAGTTGTACTCTGTCATAAGAATAGAACATGTACTCAAAAGAAATGGAAACCGGAAAGAAAACAGTTCATTCTCGGGATAGTAAATGTAGGATCAGCTAGTAGGCATGTTTCTAAGATAAGTCTTCGAATGAGTCATCACACAAATGGCTTCATCTATTTAGCCGGCCAGCCCCAGTATTTGAAAAAAAGAAACGACAGCAAAGCAAACTTCTATTTGATCGCGCACTTCTGGGAACAAGCAATTCAAGAGAAAATCTGCAACATATTAACACGTAGAACATCGAGGCGATTGGGAAGCTCCACCGCTGAAAAAGCACAGTTGTAGATTTCTTCCTTGTACTGGGTGTCAGGATATAAGGACAATCGCATCACATGCAATAGCTAAAGGAAATGTATATTATTTTCAGGTTCCCATTACGTACAGAAATAAATGATGCCTTTGAGAGTACACCAAGCCCAAACGAGCAGGAATTGAGTACCAAGTTTCATAGAAAATAACAAGTCGTTAAATTATATCTCCAACAGAAGTGACCATAATCATATCAAGTGTAGAAACTACTTTATGAGATACATGAAAAATACAGGAATAATCATTCATGTCCACAACAGCAAAAAATGGTAGCAATTCTCCGTTTTGCTGCACAAAGTATGAGATTTAGATATACATTTGCTCTTTAAAACTATACAGATTATCGTGTCTCCACCTAGCCACGAAAACATGTATACTAATACATCCTAAAATACCCCAACTATCGTTCAAGCGATGTGTGCTTAGTTATGAAAAATCAAAATTTAAGTGGGACGAGCCTTTTTATTGCAATTGATTGTTCCTTATCATGAATAAAGGAAAATCATGTGTCCAAGTTTAATGGGTAGCATAGCTCTATCCACCAAAGAAAAGAAACAAACAGAGAATCAGACAGTAAAGATAAGCCTAAGCCTCAATTTAAACTTTGAATATACTAATACACAATCAGCCTGTAAGGACACGGCCATAAATGAATATACAAAAGAATAATATCCAAGGACAAAAGCAAATAATGTGTGTCTGAACAATTGGAGAACCAAAATATATACAGCCAAAAGTCCCAACTTCTGAACATGAAGTCATCCCCAACAACTTAATTAAGTTAATAAAATTGATCATAAATACATTCCTGCGGCATCCCTCCCTTCTGTAAGGGTTGATTCCAAACAAAGGTTTCGGAAAAAATGGAAAATTGATTCTACAAAGATATGAACTACACATAAAGATTCAGTATTTTCACACCAAGTTTAGGTGGGGTAGTAGGGATGACTCACACTCCAGATCAATGTTTATAGAATCGTGATCCTACGTAAGATCGAAATGGGGTCATAGGACCGGATGGTAAATGCTACCGGTAGGATAAAAATAGTAGGATCGTAGAATTAATTATACATGTTATATAATTAATTGCTTTGATATGCAGTTGCAATTATCTTTAGATAAAGTATTTAACATTTAAACAAAAAGAAATGCGTAAATTCAATTTTTCTTATATGAATTTTAGCATAACTTTTTAATAAAAACTCGTCTCTTACAATTCTTCTTTTCGTTGTATTAGAAAAACTTTCTA